TGTTATGTTGTTGCTCAAATTTTAGGAGGTATATTGGATTAGAATTTTAAAAGATTTTTTTGAGATAAAAAATCTTATAGATTTTAAAAGACTATTTAGAATTTGAGGGACTTTAAAGACTTATTTTACAATTAAGATTTCATAATATTGGATGTTAAAAGATTTTAGTAGAATTTATAAGATTTGAAAGGACAATATGAATTTATAAGATTTTAAAAATCATATGAATTTTTAACAAACATTTAAAATTACAAGAGTCAATAAAAAAATAATAAAGAAATGCAATGAAATTAATAAAAAAAAGTAAAACCTAATATAATTTTCTCAATTAGTAAAACATAATATAATTTTGGAAAAAAAATTTGTCATTTTAAATGACAAGTGTCATTTTAAGAGAGAGATAGACACAAAATAATTTTTTTATTTATAATTTAAATTAAAAAAACCACCCACTTTTTCTATTCCATGATTTCTATTTTTTGTGTCTATCTCTCAATGACATAACTTATGTTATTTAAAATGACAAACACCAAACCCTATAATTTTTAGCAAACATTCAAAATTACTAAGCAACAGCTCTTCACATATCTAAAATTATACTAGTCCTCCACGCATTAGCATTTTCTCGTTCCTACTCTTGGGTTTGACCAATGGGTTGAAAATTATCTTCTTCATTTGTTATTAGAGCTATGCATATATGATTATAAGACCAAAACTTTTTTAGGAAAAAAGATTTGTCCTTTTAAAGAATATAACTTTGTGTCATTTTAGATCCTAAACGTTGATTTCTGTCAATCAATGGTTAGGATTTATTGGGTTTTATTGAGAATTATTAATTAATTAATAAGTTTGACCCAATAAATCCTAACTGTTGATTGTCGAAAATAAACGATTAGGATCTAAAATGACACAAAGTTATATCCTTTAAAAGGATAAATATTTTCCCCTTTTTTAATTATTAAAATAATTCTAAATTTGCAAAAAGAACCTAAAGTTCATGATAAAATTTCGTTTGAAATTTTTTGCAATTGATCTTGAAAATCTTGGGGGTTTTTGTTCTACGTTATGAGAGTTTTCTAACTATATATCATATGCATATTTTCATTGAATGTTCTAAGAAAATTTTGAATATGAATTTCTGGGTTTTATTATATGAAAGTTTAAAAAATTTCTCAATTTTTTTTCAATCGATACATTGAAACCTTAAATTGCTTTGGGGTTTTTGAAAATTAAGTTTTTAGTTATCTATTGACACAAAAATTATTTTAGATCGTTTCCTATAGTGAAGGAATTTCCTTCATAAATGTATTGTTACGAAATTTAGGATTCATATTATGAAAGTTTCAATCTTTCTTTAAATTGATATTGTTTCATTGATGTAAAACAAAAATTGATTTGAGGGTTTTAGTTTCTTAGTTATTTTTCCACTGTTTTATGTTGTTTTTAATACAAAAATCACATCTTTTTGTGTCAAGAAAAATCACAACAACACATAGCTTGAAAAATTATTTTTTAAACTTCCAAAATCTCTCAAAAATGGCTCAAAAATATGCTGTTTTGAGATAGATTATATTAAAATCTCATTGGTTTGTTGTTTCTTGGTTGTTTTGTGACAAAAATAACTCAAAACTCTGCTATTTTTGAGTTTTGACGAAGCTCCCATGACGGAACTCGATTTTGAGAGGGTCAACCTTCCAAAAATGCGATAGAGAAATCTCAAGAAATCCCAGGGGTTAGAGTGAGATTGTGAGAGAGAGGCATCCTATTTACATTTCTCTCTAAAAAGTCTCACGAAATCCACATCAATAAAAAATCAATTAAAATCATTAGATTTTTTAATACCACAAGATTGTTTTTCCATTGTTTAAAATCTTGATTGAATACCAACAAATTTGGATAGACTCTACAATAATCTTTTAAAATTCTAATCGAATACCACGTGACTTTTTTTCAATCATTTAAAATCCTAATTGAATACCAATGGATTTGTTTGTCTAAAAATAATCCATTAAAATCCTTTAAAATCCCAATCCAAGGAGTTAGCAAATCAAGAATCCAAGTATTTATTTCAAGCACATCATGATTTTAAATTAACATGAAAGTTATTACATGTTTGCATATTTTCTGATAATTTGAAGTTGTAAAGAGGTAAATCATGTGCTGTTACATATGCTTTAAATGTTGATGATTGAAATGATTGAGTTTCACATTAGCAATTAAGCAAGCTGAGCTGGCTGGGTGACATGCTACATATGCTCATTGCATTAAATCTTGAACTTGCTCAGTGACATGTTGCATATGTTCATTGTATTATATCTTGAGCAACCTGAGCTTGTAGGTAGAGACGTAGAGTATTATTTGCTGAATTTATGAGATACGGTTTGCAAGCAGAGTTGCCATGAAAAATGTGCATATTCATTACATGTCCCAGTTTATGATTTTCTCATGTGAAGCTTGCCTTAAAGAAAGATTTCAATAGAGTATTATTTGCTGAATTTATGAGATATGGTTTGCAAGCAGAGTTGCCATGAAAAATGCGCGTATTCATGACATGTCCCAGTTTATGATTTTCTCATGTGAAGCTTGCCTTAAATAAAGATTTCGATAGAGTATGAAATATATGTTTAAGCCAGTTGTATGTTGAATGTATATCAGTGTTTTAAAACCCCGCCTCGTCTCCCGGGTCAACCCCAACCCCTTTTTTCTGAGGGTTGGGGTCATAAGTTAGATCTTATATGCACATCGACCCCGACGACCCCCAAAACCCGGTCGGGTTTCAGTGACTACCGGGTCAGAGGGGTCACTGCATGTTTTTTTTAAAAAAAAAAAAATCCATGAAACAAAGTCGTTTTATTAAAAAAAATAAAATAAAAATACTTGCAAACCTAAAACTAATCATTCTCTTCTCTCCCAGCGACTCAGACGTCTTCAATCTTCACCTCGCTGCCGTGAATCTTCAAGAACTTATAATCGATCAGTCATCGTTGCAGTGATCGACTAGAAAAGGTAAGAATTTTACCCATTCAAATGAAATCCTTTCGATTGTCGGTGGAAAACAAATTTAATTCTTACTTCCTTTGAACTTTCCTTTGTCAAGAACCTTCTTAAAAGAGACAGAATCGTAGAAGTCATAGGAGATGATGGTGGAAGCTTTCCTAGTTAAGACCCACACAAGCTAACTTTATTCGATCCTACAAGTCAGATACGGCATTACTGTTATTACGTATTACATATTTTGAATCTTTGATGATTGGTGGTTTGTTTTTTTATATTTTCATATAAAATATATATATTTATATTTTTTTAATATATAAAATCGGGTCAGTGAAGTGACCCCATGACCCCCCGGTTGAATCCATGACCCTGTGACCCCTGACCTCAGCCGGGTCAATGGTCGGGCCGGATTTTTAAACACTGATGTATACAGTTTATGATTTAGTTTATGATTGCAAGTTGAGCTTGCCAGAAAGAATTATTCCAAACCTTGGTATGAAATTTCTCTTTTTATTATGGCCCACATAAATTTGGGTTTCAAAGGGCATTATTTATAGTAGGGGACACCCTACTTAGGGAGTGGATCATTTCGTGTTAGTTAATATAATCATATCATGTCGTATAAGAGAATCTTAACTATATAAGGGTGAATCAATAGTGATAAGAGAAGAGAAAAAAAATATTATGATAAGAGGTTACAAAATCATCTTCGTTGATTTAATTATTGATGATTAAGATCCTTTCACATGACATTGTCATGTTAATTAACACGTGAGAGAATTTATTTCCACTTGGGAGTGGATCCTCTCTCGTGTTAGTTAACATACTCATGTCATGTGAGAGAATTCTAACCATATAAAGGTGAATCAATGATAATAAGGAAAGAAAGAGAAAAAAATATAAGCATAAGAAGTTACAAAATTATCACCATTAATTTAATTATTAATAGTTAAGATCCTCTTACATTACATTTATAAGCTCAACTACCGTGCACAGATGGTCCGTTAATTAGGGCATAGTAAGACAGTAATTAAATATAAAGGCCCCCACAGCTTGAAACAGCATATTAATGATAAAGGCCCCAAAGGTTCAGGCAAGAAAAATATGATCTATATGCATGTGCACCTTTATGCATGTGCCCCCAAAGGTTTGGGCAACAGTAATTCAAAAGAGTTATTACATCCTTTGTAAAAGTTATTCATGCATTTTAATCCAGTTTACATCATGATTAGTTCTCTCAGTATGGGCTCAGATTTCAGCAAATTAAAACATAATTATATGTGCTCAAATACCATATTTGTATGTTTTGGGTTATAGTAAATAGCGTGATGTACAACATATCTTTATATGCCATGATGACTGAAGTTTATATTTGATGAAGATGATAATGTGATGTTAAGGGAATTTTTTTCCTAATAGAAGAGCTGGATGGACTTACAGCTAGAAAACCCCAAAGTTATTAAAATTTAATTCTTACATGTTTCTTTATTTGATTCTGACCCATTTAGGTAGAATCTTGAGGATAGCCTAGATAATGTGAATCGTGTTTATCAGCCGAGACCATGTGGATTCACATTCAACTTTTGGTACATTAGTGTTGTTATTGGGATTGTGAAAAAAAAAATTGGAACTGGGAATCGATTAAAACCGCACTGAAAAAATTATAGTTTTTTAACCGGTTTAAGAAACGAATTATTTTCTTCGAACCATACAGAAAGGGAGATAAACGTCGTTTCAAACCATACAATAAAAGTAAGGGAATACCATAATCATTTCACAGATAATAGTCTTTTACTACTTACTTTTTTACATTGATAGCTCAAAACTATCTCCTAAAACAAAAATTCCCGGCTTTTTTATCTTGCTCATTCATATATCTTTTCATATCAAAATTGGTTGAAAATTTTAAAGGTCATGGGCAAAAATTGTAATTGGCCCTAAATATTAAAAATTCTCAACTAGAAGTTCTAAGCAGTTCATACAACATACAAAGTTAAGACAATTAGCATGTTTAGACACCATACAACTTGACGTTTCTCTTGATGGGTAATAACCAAGCATTTAAAATTATAAACAAAGAAGCCCTAAATAACATTTTGCTGGCAAGAAGCCATCAATTCTCGAACAGTTGAAATCAGAAGGAATTTTATTTCCCTACAAACTAGTTGATGGATGATAAAACATTCCTAGATACATGTGCAGCTACTAAGGAGCAAACCAACATCCATAAATACTATTCCTTTACAACATACATAGCCAGAGTCATCATTGGGCTCTAGAATGCATCTATGAAGGGTGCAGACCCCAAGAGAGCAGAACTACAACTACTCTTTCTAAACAATGAAAGAGGAAACAATCTGTACCTCCAAGAGGAAACGCCTTCTCCTCACCAAATATTTCAACCTGCTGCAAAAATGATTCAGGCAGACAATCACAACCAATATATTTATAAGGAATTTCAATTAAAAAATTTCTTAAATTATAGCATGGAAACGTGTAATCCAGGCAAGAGAACAAAGACCAGCACAAGAACAATAATCAGAAGCATAAGGGAGACGGACAAAAGGTGCGACCCTATTCAACCTTTTTTTTTTTTATTCTCTTATTTAATTTTATGCAAAAATGCAGACAAAGTCAGTAGATAGACCAGGAACATCAAAGTCAAAATTGATGTAAAAGATGTGGAGAAAGCAAAAGTGAGAAATTATAATAATCAACTTGGGTGAAAGGTATTTAAAGAAATTATAATGATGGAAAGGTCATGGGTTCGAATCCAGGAAACAGCCTCTTTGCAATTATGCAAGGGTAAGGCTGCGTACAAGGATTTCCTCCACCCCATACTCGCTAGTCGAGTTTAACGGGGAGTGTTTTTTTTTTTTTTTTTAACTTGGGTGATCCTAAAGCTTTGCTACAATATCTTCAACTCATGATAACCTTTTCAAGAACACACACATGTTGGTATTTCATAAAGCATATTTTGGAAGGAAAACACGTATGGTACTTCCCAAATATTGCCCTCCATCCTCCTCATCATGGCTTTAATAAGCTCTAATACATTAAATCATGTAGCAGTTAATTATTAAATCTTTTATTGTCTTTGATTAGAAAATACCAAAAACAATAGACATGCATTCATCCAAGTATCCAATCATTTCCAAACATTTTCAATTAAAACACTATTTGACAGGAAGGCTGATTTAGAAGTTTAAATTATTGTGCAAACAGCTTTGGCAGAGAAATAAACATATACATGGGTAGGGAATAGTTAAATAGCTCCTTTACTTTTATTAAAGAAGAAATTTATCAAGATTGATACTATTATCATTATGTTTACAATAAGCCCCGATAACAAAAAACTGTTCCAATCACTGACCAAATAGGAAAACTAATATTCATAATCTTATAAAACATAATAATCAAAGAAACCATTAAGATACCTATTCAGTGAACACGCTTCAATGATCACGAGATGGATATCTTTGTAAGACTGGGTGGCTCGCTTTTGGATTACTTGTAAAATTTGGCTCCTCCTTCTGTGTGTTACCATTGCTATCTCCGGAGACTTTCATTTGTCTAAAATCATTTACAGATGATTCAATTTCATTTTCCAGAAACCTATTTGGAATGTAGGTACCTTTGCCAACAAATCCAAGATTCCTAAGACATGCTTGATCAACTGAATCACCAGATTTAATATCATAGGGAACTTGTCTATCAGACACAGGCAGGAGGCCAGGCAAAGGTCTCACAGCATCAAATGTCAAAGTTGAATTTTGAAGCTGCTGAATATTGCTATTGCCGGAGCCTATTGAACAAGAGGACGTTTGAGGAGAAACGCAAGGCATAGTATACCCACAGAGAACGTCTCTAGCTTTGGTGTCCCCAACAGAAAATTGCGATATACTAAATGAATTATTTGATTTTGGTGACAATAGACTATAGTCAATAATGGCATTCCTTCCAAAACTGCAATCCTGGTTGACAGAAGCATGACTATTTCCTACCTGGAAATTGTTTGAAGATTGAGAGGGAACAACCAAGCAAGATGGTTGAACATTGATCGATCGACTTTGATCTTGTATCAGTGACTGCTGCTGCAGCTGTTGGTGTTGTTTCTGCTGGTGCTGCTGCCTTTGTTGATGCTGCAATATATCCATCAGCATGTTATTATTCTGAACACCCACCCTTCCAACACTACTATTGGGTCCCACTGAATCAATTGTATTAGATGATGGCCATGCTGCATATCTTGATGATGTATCATCTACAGTTGAGACAGACTGAGGAAAATTCTTGGCAATGTTGGAAGGACCTTTTACAAGAGACTGACCATATGCCACAGCATGTTCAGCATGCAAATGTTTTGGCCTCTGTATGGATGCTTGCAGTAGAGTAGTCTGGTCCACTGTAGGCATTATGTTAGTTGTTGGGTGACCTAAGAGCTCAGCATGAAGGGCTGCAAGTGTTTCAGGGGGAACATGGCCAGCAGCAGCCCAAGCTTGTATGTCAAATCTTCCAGGAGTACACAGCTTGGATTCTATAGTCCCAGGAAATGTGTTTAGCATCCCATTCTGTTGCTGTGCCACACTATTTAATCGCTTCAAATAAAGTCTAAATTTCTGCCAATGAATATTGCAATTGCAATTCACAATGGTAATGTTAATTACGGTTAAGAACCACAAAACATAAGTTCATTAATCCACAATCAATTGCCTTAGTTTGTAAAAATTATCAAATATTTATTTATGAGCAGATAATATTCCTAGTCCAATTATTGAAATCTTTTCTGGTTAGTAAAGAATGACTTTGGTCTTAAGATCTTAATATTTCTGACACTTAAATGTAATGACATTTATCACTAAATAATGGATAATATCAATTGCCACATATTCATGGCCTTTCAATGTTATCAACTAATTAAATGTCCTTTAAAAAGGAGAAAGAAAAATAATACAAAAATGACAAGTTCTTTCTATCACTTCTGCTGACGTCATTGTTTATCTCCCTTACCTTTCTCATCATACACCACTACTCACTCTTTTATTCCAGGGCATTTTTGTACCCACGTTCTACATTTACAAAACAAATTAATTAATATGGAAAGTCAATTCAACCATTGTATTAACTTTCTGTAATGATTTCTCACGCTGCCTTTTGTGATCCATAATCCCCGTCACGATTCTCATCTCAGCTCAAATCATTTTCAACATGTTTCTTCCTAACCTAACATTTCATACCGATAACAAGAAAACATGATGAACAGCACCATAAAATCTCTTTGCCATTGGCTTTATTAAGTGTCTTGATATATTTAAAAAAAAAACTCATTTATCACACACAACCTCTCCAATTTCCCCTTCCCTAAATTGGAATAACAAAAGATGGCATTAAACTTCTTCAGTTTCATTAATGGTCGGAGCCATTAATTTTCTAATAACAAAATTTGAATTTGTAGATGCCTCATTGCCCCCATACAGATTAGTCATAGCTATTCCAGCCCTTGGTAACCCATCAATGTTAAGAACAACTAATCATGCAATAGAGTATCAAGCAGCGGTATGACACAAAAAGTCCTTGTTGATTTTATGTTGCACAGAGTGATAACAATCAATGACTGTTTTGACAACTTAAAGTTCATAGGAGATACTAGGGTGGTAGAATAAATGTTATGATGTAAACAGTTATAAAACTAAGGGCTTTATTAATCTCATGCAATAGGAGAGAACTCTCTCATGCTATAGAGACAATCATGTGTGGGACACCCACCCACTTATAGAAAAAGAAAAAAAGATAAAAAAAAGTAACACGGAAATCGATGTATGTGTAGGAGATAAAAACACTCTCCTACAACATAAGAGTATATTTTCCTTAAAACTAATCAGCAACGGATTGATTTGATTTCTAAATGTTGCCAGCATATGAAATATAGCACATAAAATAAAAGTTAGAAAAGAAAAAAAAGAAAAAGAACATAAACAAATTGTGACTGAAAAGATCAAGTTCATATCTACTAAAAATTAAAAAACACAATCGATTATCAGGGAAGATGGCAAAGAATCACTTCACATTTTGGACTGAAAACAAACCTGCAAATGACTTGCAACATTTTCTCTTGTCAAACCAGGGACATTCATCAATTCAAGTATTCTCTTTGGCACAGCCTCTGAAATACAGGGATAAAAAACAACTGATAAGCTAAATTGCAATAAATGCTTAAAAATACTCGAAAAGAAAAGATTATACTTTTAGGTTATGATTTATGTTTCTTGGAGACAATAAAGTCTTGTCATTGAACAAAATAAACAAGAGCAAAATAGAGAGAAACAATAGTTGGAGATTCATACTGTCAAGCCCTAGCTGATTCACAGCGCTGACAAATTGTTGATGGAGTTCTACCGACCACACCACACGGGGCTTCTTAGATGTAGATGAATCATCATTTTCCAACTCAGCATCTTCTTCTTCATTCATACTGCTCCTCTTTCTTTGTGTTTTAACTATTCCTTCTGTTGCATCAACAACAGGAGAAGTATATTCAGCATCATCATTTCCCCATTTATTCCTATCATTATTATCTTCCATGACACCAGAATTTTCATGTTCTTTATTTTCTTTGCAAAGTTTCCTTACAACATGCTGCCATATATTCTTTAGTTCTTCCTCACGTACAGGCTTAATCAAATAATCACAAGCCCCATGCTTAATTCCTTTCATGACAGCACTTGTTCTACCATCAGCAGACATCACTGCAGCATGCAGAACATAATCAATTTTAAAAACGTTAAGCATTATAATTCTAAGAGGGGAACAATAGAAACAGAGTAGTACTTACTGATAACAGGAAGATTCATTTCCAGCCCAACATGTTCAAGGAGTTTATAACCATCCATTTTCGGCATATGAACATCACTCAGTACCACATCAAAACCGTCTTTCCTCTCTCGCAGAATATTCAAAGCAGCAGTAGCATCAATGCATGTAGTAACTGGAAGGAAGATAAAAAAAATATAATAAGAATTAAGAAGAAATGTTATTGTCCACTTGTAAATCTAAAATCAGCAGCCAAAATCTCGAAAACCTAAAACATGAAATCTTCTCTCAAAAAAAAAAAAAACATTCTCTGGAAACGCATGAAAACAGCGAATTTCTCTGGAAAATCAGCACAAGCAAGTCGAAAGAAGAAAAAAAAAAAACTAAAACTCGGTCAAAACTAACCGCTGTAACGGCACCGAATGGACATTTGCTCGAGAATCTTCAAGGTAGTGACGTCATCATCTACCACAAGAACCCTAAGACCAACCGGGAACTCCGCGGCAGGAACGGTGGCGACACCATCAACAACGGTGCCGCCAGCACCGCTGCTCGTGCTCAAATGTGCCACTTTCTGCAACGACGCTGCCATAGCTGCTGCTGCTGCTGCTTGAAGGCAACGTCGTCGTTTCGTGAAACAGTGGATAGAGCTCAGAGAAGCGTAACTTATATAAATAATATAAATAATGTCGGAAATAGAAGAATTAAAAGGATTCTGGTGAAAAAAATAAAATTAAAATAAAAAATTCAGAGTTCGAATGAAGAAAAAGAGTGTATATATATATATATATAGATCTTATTGCAGTTGCAGTGAAGAAGAAGAAGAAGAAGAAGAAGAAGAAGAAAAATCCGCAAAGGAATTCAGTGACTGAGAATGGAAATCAATAAAAGTGAATATGAAAGAAGAAAGAAAGAGGGAAAAGGAAAGGGGAGAATAAGAAAGCTAGTAAAAATGATAACGGTGGGAAAAAAACAAAAAAACGTCAACTAAAGACAAAATTAAATTTAACAATTAATGCTATTATTAATACTTTTTGTTAACTTAAGGTGCAATAAATATTTATTCATATTAATCAAAAAAATTATATATTAATTAGATTTATAAAATTATTTGTTAATTTTATTAAAAATTCATAAACAAAAGCTTTTGAATATAAATAGATAGATTTTTAATATGAGTTACTCGATTTTTGACATGTTAAATTTTAATTTAAATACCTAAAATCTTCTTCTTCTTCTTTTTTTGGAGTTACCCAACTCTAATTATCTCTTTGAGACGAGTTGGCTCCTCCGGTATCCCCACGAGTTTCGACTCTTTGAGCCGGCTATGGGACTAATACGGAGTGCGGGGAAACAGTGATGGCTAAAGGTTCAGCCCCCTCCCCAAGAATGCATTCAGCGGAAATCGAACACATACCTAAAATCTTCTTACCATATATCAATGTGCAATTATGTGAATATGCCATATTATTATTATTAAAAATTGGAAAAAATTATTTATTATAATTATTTTTTAGAAGTAGTATTTAGCATAAAGGAAAAAGTATTAAGGAAAATCATTCAAATTCTAATTACAGAGATAAAATTATTTAATTTTATATAATTATTATTATTAACTTTACTGAAATCCCATTTTTATTCCTTTGGATTAAATATTACCTCTTAATAATTCTTGACATTAATTTTTATTTAAAAAGGTTTAATATATAATTAAATGCATGGTTGTGAATAGATTTTTTTTTAAATAATCTCTTTTCAAAAGTATTTTAGAAAAAAATTGTTTAAAGGAGTGTATTGAATTAGTATTTTAAAAAACTTTTTTGAGATAAAAAATCTTATACATTTTAAAAAAATTATTTAAAATTAGAAAGACTTTAAAGACTTTTTTTACAATCAAGATTTTATAAAATTGGATTTTAATAGAATTTATAAAATTTAAAAGAACAATATGAATTTATAAAATTTTAAAAAATTATATGAATTTTTAACAAACATTCAAAATTACAAAAGTCAATAAAGAAAACAAGAAAATGCAATGATATTAATAAAAAATTAAAAACTAATATAATTTTTTCAATTAGTAAAACTTAATATAATTTTTAACAAACATTATATATATATATATATATATATATATATATATATATATATATATATTGACAAAGCTTGGGATTATTAGAATTTTTAATATGTATCATCGCCAATACAAAGAATATTAGAATTTTATGCTCATTATAATCCAAACAATATACAAAAAAAGAAATTCAATGGAGAATGTATGAGGTAAGCTTATTAGTTCAATTTCAAATTGAGACGTAAGCACATACATTATTTAGAGATTAGATACATGTGTATTGTCAACTCTATACAACTCTAGTAAAAAAAAATAATGAAGCACATCTTTTAATATACATTTAATAAAAAAAATCATACATTAGGTGTATCTAATCATCTTTTAATAACATAACTTAAGTATTAATTTAAAATGGCTATTTACTTAATCATCACATATTAATCAGTTATTTTAATAGCATATGGTTATTTTAATACCAATCATTTTAGTTTATAGATATGCTAATAAATTATCAAATATCTGTTATTGATTGTACCAAATTGAACTCCAAAACATTCATTTTTATAATACAAAGGTAAGTAGGGGTGTACATGGCCCAGGCTGGCCTGACCTAGCCTACAGCCCGGTCTACGTTGAGCCTGGTCTAGCCCGGCCTACGTTGAAAAGTAGATTAGACTTAGGCTTATAAGAAAACATTTTTAACAAGTAGACCATAGGCCAATTTTGTCAAGCCTGGACTAAAGCCTTGTAGGCTGGCCTATTTAATTTTTTAAAATAAAATAAAATAATATATTTATATTAGGGTATATGATATACATTATAGAGCTAGGGTATTATGTTGACTCTTTCTTTTTTGTCATTTTTTATGAATTATGAGAAGTATTAGTGCATGCATGAATGGAACTTTGCTCAGTATATTTGTGTAGTTATTTTTTTTACTATTGTAAAAATTTTAATGCTCACTAGTGAAATTTATATCTCGTGTAAAAAAATGCAGCAATTTATGAACACGTTAATAACTTGTAATGTCAAGCGAATATTTTTAAAATTGTTAAAAATATTTTTAAAATTTTTTAAAAATATTTCACTAGGGAGGCCTACAAGGCCTGTAGGCCATATAAGGCTCTTTAATTTTTAAAAATAGGCCAAGCTTGGCCTATAATTAAAGTCTTTAGTAGGCCAATAAGCCAGATAGACTGAATATTTTTTTACGTAGGCTTAGGCCAGGAAGACCAAAGTCCGGCCCAGCCTGGCCCATTTACACCCGTAAAAGTAAGGTAACGAATACTTTACAACTCATCAATAATATTGGCAATAAAAAAATTTAAATAGCAATACTTATTTTTTTCGTTATTGATTATACTTAATTGAACTTCTAACATTTATTATCATTAGTACATTGATAATAAATATTTTATAAAAAAAGTAATATTTTTTTATTATATTTTGATAGTGATTGAGGTATTGCTTGATAAATAAAATTAAAATATTTAATAGATTATGAACTTAAAAAGTTATTTATTATTTTTTTTTAAACAAATTAAAAGCATTCACTAGATACACTTGGATCACTAATTAACAAAAACTCGTTTTTTGTGTATGTAATTTTTTTAAGACTTTGTGACAATGTTATTAAAACTGGCCCGGTCATTGACCCGGTCGAAGTACTGGGTCACTGGTTCAATCGCATGACCCGATAATTATATGCAATTTTATAATTTATATTAAAAAATTATAAACATACTCAAATATCTAAAAAAATGATAAAAATTTCAAATAATTTAATATAAAAATAATAAATCACATATTATTATCTAATAAATGATCAAACAAAAATATAATAATCGTGATATGAGACTTTAGGTACAGAAAATGACATCTCTAATTATAAATTAATTCAAAATTTTCTGCATAGTATATAATTGAGATAATATTAGTGTTTTAGGTACATAACTTATGTAAGTCAATAAGCAAAAAAATATTCAAATATGTCCATTATGATTTTTTTGAAAAAAAAATTGGAATTTTTTTTTTGGGACCGGACCGGGTCACCGGTTAACTGACCGGGTCACCGGTTTTTATAAAAACCAGACGAGTCGCACCGGTTCTGATGCATGGCCGGTCCGATGCTTCAACCGGACCGGTTATATGACCGGTTTACCGGTTCCTGGGTCGACCCGGCTGGGTCGTTCCGGGTTTAATAACACTGCTTTGTGATAAATGAAAATTTTGCTCAATCCGCTACCAAGTGTAAGGACCAAATTTTATATTCTTGTTTGGTGTAATCTTACTTCTCTCTTTATTGGTAATAATTTCTCTACTGTTTCTTTTTTTTTTTAATTATTTAGTTGTCCCAAATCAATAAAGTTATTAAATAGATTTAATTATAGCATAAATAATTACATTTGATTTGTATTTTCTTTAAAATTCTATTAGGATTTTACATATGATTCAAGAAATTGTATTCGTATCGGATCGAGATTGAATCCATATATGAATACATTCAATCCAAATACGAAACGAATAAAGATTTATGTTTAAACTTTTGTCATAAACATAATTTGCTTATTTTATGAATTAATACATGATACAATACAAATAATTTGCCAACCACAAATTTATGCATTTTCAACATTGACAACTCACTTTGTTATGGACCTGGAAAAGGCTTATGCCTGCGAAAAGCCCAAACAGCACAAGCCCAAAGGTAAGCTCTATAAATAGGAGCTAAAGACCACAAGTATGACTGATCTCTCAAACCCTATTTTACGCAATCATGACAGTGCACACACACACCCCCTTTGGCTAAGGCCATCGTATAGTGTGTAGTGATTCGTTGTCCCCAAGATATCTAATTCATAGGTATCTAGAGAGAAAGCACTAGATCCAAGATCAATCATCCGACATACGGTCGGACACCTCTGCCTTAGGCAGAACATAGGCGCCGTCTGTGGGAAACGAAGACTTTTCCCACTACTACTACGTGATTAAAGGCAGTTGATCAAGATGGAAAGGACAACCAGGAGTGGATATCGACAGCCTTCAAGATCGAATTCCAGGCATCAGCCTGTTCTACCAATCAGGGAGGATCCTTTGAATCATCAAATAGACACTAATGAGGTGCATGTTAGTGACGTGCATTCCGATTCGGCATCAACCCCAGCCGTCAATCCGAATGCCCCATATGTGCAGGGTTTACAACCGATGGAGGACCAAGTCGCAGACGCGGTGCAGCTTCCAAATGGTGCAATTGGTGATCTGCGGGTGATGGATCTGGCTGCTGCTGCGGTCCTTCAGAGAATGGAAGAGATGGAAAGAAGGCACGAGCTTGAAAGGGAGGAAGGTGCTAGGCAGATGCGAGAGTTGGAGACTAGAGTAAGGCGAGTCTCTAACCCGAATCTGGAACAAGCTATAACTCGGGTCATAAATGACTTGAGGATCACGAATCCCCACGAGAACAATGATAGAACCCGAACTCAAGTGAGAAATATCAAACGTGTTGAGAGCTGACCTCAAAGGAACGCTCCCGGCTTGGCTCGTAATCAAGAACCTCGGCACGAGGAAGGCCGAGGTGAAGGAAGAAGTACAGAAAGGCAGAGAGAGAGTTCCCAGTTCAGAAACCCATTCAGA